GCTTGTTTTAGGAGAAAATTGTAGTTATCCTAGAAAATAATTTACAAAATTTCTTTCTTATCTCTTACCTTTCCCCATCCCCACTGAGATACCAGTTTTTTATTAGATTGTCTGTTTTTCAACAGCCATATCAAGCTGTTGAAAAGCCCTCTGATAACTTCTGCTATTTCTTTTAAGTATAATCATGCTCTTCTGTACTCATCTTCATCTCTTTAGCCATTATCTAGCATGCTCCTCAGTATGGCATGGAGAAGCTCCTCCGTTAACTTCATTTTTTATTCAGTCAACCACACTTCAAGAAAAATTTTTTAATTCCATTACTGGAATGGTATTACCATATGTTGCATTCCGGATTAAGCTATAAACTGCCCAGAGTGGTTCCATTTGTATTTAAGACTTTTTAAAAGCCTTTTGGTTCATTATAACCTCTAATTAGCACCCTGAAAAAGAGTCATACACTCTTCTCTAAGAGAAATTCCTTTTAATTTAGTGTGAAAAATAAGATATTTTGGCAAAAGGTTTTTACAGGAGTAAAACACAATCAAGAAAAAAGCATTTCACTAGCATTCAGCCCAAAGACCCATTCCACAGGAAACACCCACTAAAACAATCCATATACCAGCTTTAGTAGAACAGAGTTCATTGGTTTTAAGTTACCCACAAGACAAGGAAGATAGTAAAAGAAAACAGATTAAAAGGGGTAAAGAAAGAGAGAAGGAGAGAAAGGAGAGGAGAACAGTTACCAACAAGATTCAGTGGTGCCAGCTGGAGAGGGAGAAGAGAGAGACTGCATGGAGTCTCGTGTATTTATAGAGTTTTCCCTCCCAGGCAGGATATCCAGTCAGTGCCTTCCAGGCCAGAGTGAGTTGTGCTGTAGCCAGTCACAGGCTGCAGGGGTGTGGTGTGGGCAGGTTACCAGGCAGGTCTGCCTTGACCGACAGCCTGGCTGCAGGGCCTGCAGCTCTGCCATGTGCTCTGCGTGGGCTGCAGGCCTTGCCTTCAGCTCTGCCATATGCTCCCAGCACAGGCCTGATGTGCAGATTTTACCAGGGACCTGCAGGTCCAGGCCCAGCCCTTCCCTACATGCACACACACACTCACACTGAGTTGGTTCCAACCCGTATCAATACTTCAGTGAGATTCGGATCCAGGATCTCAAACTATATGACACCCCATCCCTTTTATGCACCCTTACCACTTACGATTATTTTATCTAAGTGTATCTTTTACCACTTTTTTTTTTAATTGTCAAAAAACCTACAAAACTTGTTAACACATTTATTTGCATTCTTGGGTTACTTTTAAAAAAAGAGGTAAGATAAATACAATCAACATAGGTTTAGAGTATATGTAGAGCTGATCCAGAAGTAAAATTTCCTCTATTTAAAATACGCAACACAATATCATTTTCTTTTCAGAAAATCAGTAAGCTGAAAGTGAAATTGACTGCCCAGATGTTAAGAGCAAATACTGGATTATTTCTCCTGTTTGATGAAACATTTTTAGTTAAGAACAATAATACCTCTGTTTCATTCCATATTGTCAAATCTGGTTCTTCTTCTGTGAGGCTCTTTTCTTCCAAGAAATTATTTTAATTATCTTAATTAATTATCTTAATTAATTCTTCATTATCCATTAAGATGAATTTATATTTGCCTTGAGAATTACTTGAAAGGCATAATTATGTTTTAAACAGTTTTTGTTACATTGGCTTAAGTAGATCACCACCCTATCTTCAGGAATTATATCAACAATCTCACTTGTAGGTTTAGTACATTTTCCAATGGTCTTCTCTTTCATTTTTCTGCTTTGAAAATTTACCTCTGTAAGAGATTTTACCAAAGACTAAATAAACTCTGAAACTGTAAAATGTCTCTTCTCCATTCTTTAATTACTTTTATAAGTCTAAGATATCTGTTCCAACAGTACCCTGTGGCCCTAAAATGTCAATAGTTTGAAGGTGATAGGCTTGATTGTGGTCTAAATTTCATGCTGTATGGTTACTCAGATTCACCTGTGCCTAGTGAATATGCACAACCATTTTGTTACGGTTCTGCTAGAGATAAGAAAGTGTTGGTGTAGATGAAAATAAACACTTGCAAAATATATTCAGTTGCAGTTTGACATGACTAAGTAGTTTCACTGCTCTGATAGATTCCTTTACCTTGTTTATGATACTCCTCCAGTGCAATCTGTCCACAGATCTGAGTAAATCCCAGGCTGTGCTGCACTCCTGCATTATGTTTTTCCACATGCAAGACCTTCCATTTGTCTCTGTTGAACTTTCTAAGGTTCTTGTTAGCCCACTCTTCCAGCCTATGTCGGTATTTTTGCAGGGTGGCTCTCCCTTCTGAAGTAACCACTTTTCACTGAGTTTTGGTATCATCAGCAAACCATCAGGGTACACTTGAGCCCATCATTCAAATCACTTATAAAGATACTAAACATTGTTGGACCCAATATTGATCTCTGGGAACCCAGGGATAGGATAATGAGAAATAAGAACAAATCTAAAAAAATGTTCCAACCACCCCTCTCTTCTTCCTTGGCTCAGCTTTGCTCCCAGTTTTCTTAACCTCCTCCTCCCGAGTGGTGCAGGAGGATAGGGAATGGGGATTGCAGTCAGTTCATCACACATTGTCTCTGCCACTCTTTCCTCTTCAGTGGGAGGAGTCCTCACACTCTTCCCCTGCTCCATTGTGGGGTCCTTGCCATGGGAACAGTCTTCCATCAACTTCTTCAATGTGAATCCTTTCCATAGGCTGCAGTTCTTCATGAACTGCTCCAGCGTGCACCCTTTCCATGGGGTGCAGTCCTTCAGGAACAGACTGCTCCAGTGTGGGCATCCCACAGGGTCACAAGTCCTAACAGAAAACCTGCTCCTTCCTGTCCATAGATTCACAGGATCGTGTTCCAGCACAGGCTCTCCATGGGGTCACAAATGCTGGCACTTCTGGCTATTCCAGCATGAGGTCTTCCATGGGCTGCTGTGTGGACCTCCATGGACTGCAGAAGAACAGCTTGCTTCACCAAGCCTCACACAGTTGAACAGCATACACTAAGGGAACTGATGATGCCTGGCTGTGGTGATGGAATAAAATGTCATTTTATTTAATGATTGTATTGCAAAGGGTCTGTTCCATGGGACCACGTTCACAATTTTAGGACCATTGCTACTTCTGATGTTCTCATAATCTAGAAGCTGACTTTTCAACTACTTTTAATGATATTTTTTCATAGGTAATATAAAAGTTAAATCACAAGGCAATGGAAATGGTATTAAAAATACTAATTACTTCAAATCTCAAAATATAGTTATATAATGCATTTTTGTTGTAACAGATGGCTAAATAAATGTGTAGAAACTCACATTGATTAACTCATTCGTGCATTCTGTTTATGGATTCATGAGGAATTCAGACACAACTAGGATGAAAACTGCCAGGATGTGATAAGGAGGTGATCTAAGGTCTTAAAGCCTGGGAGGACTGAGAAATGCCATTGAGGGAAATGTATTTGTAATGGTTTACTACATAAATAAACTGATTACATTACATGTAATTGAAATTGCTGGCAAAGAGAAGCAATTCTGATTGAAAAGAATAAAAATTACAAAATGCTTGCTTACTAACTTATTTAAAACCTGCTTAATAAATTTTTAATTTCTGTTTTGATTTAGTTATATATATATTTTTGTAATATGAGTGTGTATTCTGTGACTTGTGGCTCTAATTATTCACGGTGAGTTAATTTATTCCATTAATATCTCATTCACTAAGAAGAATGGTAAAACCTCGAGAGTGTTGATTTGGATAAATATCTAGCAGCACAGATGTTCACATAAATATTTTTGAGATTCACATTTTAAAAATCTTATGAAATCAACATTTCTTTGATCCTTCAAATGGATCTAATCTGGTTTTTATTTCTCATTGAATCAACTGACCTGTTTTTGTGCATTTTTTGCTTTCTGTTAGGGAAAATAAAGGCAGCTTTTAAATGCAAAACTGATCGTTTTATCTGGTTTATGAGTTTGTTGGGGGTTTGTTTGTTTGTTTTGGATAGTTTTTGGTTTGTGTTTTCTTCCTTCCCCTGAGCACAAAGCCTAGTAAACTGACATTTTTAATGGGCATATTTCAGGATGAACTCTTACATAAACAGAATGAGACTGCTTTAATTTAATTTTTAAGTCATGGAGAAAAGTTAATACCTTCCAGTCTAAAGCCAATGTGACAGCTGAATATGAATATAAATATCTGTAAAAGAAATTTAAGGATGTAAAAAATCTTAAATGGTTCCTTATTAAATGCCATAAACATTTTTATTCTAAAGAAGTTTAATAGTAACTTTAAGAAGTTTGCTTGCTCATGTGCTAGAAGAACTTAAACTAGTTCAGAAATACAACAGATTATGGTAGTATCCGTATCTCTTAAAGGGCAAAATGAATTTCTGTTTTCGTAAAATAAGGATGTATGTATAATGATATCAATTATTAGTTTAATTTACTAAGGATAATAAAAAGTGATATCTTCATTTATTAAATATGTATTTTAGAAAGATGAGATTTTTCTTCTATTTATATGAAAAAGTGTACTGGTTATAACCTATAAGAAGAAAATTACTTTTACCTCAGCCAAAGCTAGAACAAAAATTTTCCTGAATGATTTTATAAAGGACAATAAAACAACATTCAGAAACAGAATGTAAGATACATGCATGGACTACCTTACTATTTTTAAAAGTTTCTTGATGGCAGATTTGAAATGCAAATATAATTTAAAATAGAAATCAAAGGTTTACTTTAAATCAACAGAACCCACCAAATTCTTTATAAATGCGTAGGTAAAATAATATTGATGTGCTTAATACTAGATGAAAGCATCCATTCTGTGTCCAGAGAAACTGATTTTCTATACATTCTCAGATAATCTTCATGTACTAAAATATACGAAAAACAGATCTCTCATGTGCTCACTTATGCTTACATCTTTTTTTTCCAGATGACCCGAGAGCAGTATATATTAGCAACACAACAGAACAGCCTTCCAAGGACTGAGCAACCTCAGTTTTACCCAGTAGGGATTTATGGATGGCGAAAGAGGTGCTTATACTTCTTTGTCCTACTGCTGTTGGTTACCATGATTGTTAATTTAGCAATGACAATATGGATTTTGAAGGTTATGAATTTCACAGTGGTAAGTATTAAGTAACTTTATGTACCCCATTTTTTGAAGTACAAACTGCTAGTTTTATTTCTTTTTTCCTTTATCATGTTATCGAGAAATCTTGTAATTTTTGGTGAAAAATCATATATACTTCGAGTGTTACTTCAGATATTTATACCTTTTGTGTATATTCTGCAGTGAGTGAACTGGTGCCCTGTATTCAGATACTTTTGGTTAATCATATCTTCTGAAAATCTATCTAGGTCTTAGATTTTTTTTTATTTACCCAACCAAAAATGTCATGATGACTGCCCCAAACATCTTTTGGTTGCTTGTCATCACTGAATAATAATCAGTAGGAGTTTACTATATCTGTTCTGTGTGGTATCTCTCCTAGGAGGAAACTGTTTTTTTCAGATCAACATATGGTGCCTTTTTTAGCTTTTGTTGTTCTTAGTATTTTTTTTAGAGTTTACTGACAATTTCGACCGTGTTTCACCTAGAACTTAGAGTAGCTGTTTTGGTGTTGATAGGGAAGGGGATGGGTCTAAAAGTCACATGCTTTTCTGAGACAGTCTCTGCCTGGAATCTTTAATATCATCAAAGTGTTATCAAATCTGTATTTCAGATGTACACTTGAAAGAACATCTGTGTTTAGTGGAAACCGGTAGAAGTGCATACTAACTGGCAGCAGAGTAGTTTCTTTTTGTATATCAAAATAAAAGATAGAACTCTCAACAGTTTAAAATAGTAGTTCTTCTGCTAGGATCAGTGCAATCTTTCTCTTTGGATTTTGACCTTCATAAACCATATTTTGATGTTATTGGTTATAAATTTCAAATTTCTATGGTCACAGAACTTTTCTATTCTCCATTAGTCTATTGGAAATAAAAAAGCAATCAACAAAAGCAGCAAAGAACATATGTCTAAAATTGTCCTAAATCTGTTAATGCTCTGTTATCTGTTGAGTTATCTGAGACTGTTGTCTGGTGAGATGTATTGTGCAAATACCTGTGGATGAATATGTTGGATTAATATTTTGACAACTGTATGACTTTAATATTCATGTGCTGAAGAGTTGGTGAGAAGATTTGGGGGGCTGCCTTTTTTGGAGGCAGGGGCTGGATTTGGTTTTTTTGTTCTATTTTTTCTTTTTTATTTTTTTTGTCATAACGCACTTTCAAAATAGGACATCCATATATATTTTTGTTTATTAATAATTGTTGATTTGTACAAGAAATATATTTAGGCATAACTGTTCACTTCAGTAAAATGGTCTGCTACTACACCAGAGGAGAATTGAGAATGGACATTTTAATAGGATAAGAAAATGTTTTACAAAGCACAGAATTTTTCTCTGTGCAGAAGGTTGTATTCCAATAGAATATTTAAAACTACTGCTCCCATATCTAGGAAATGTTTGACCTTTCACAGTAGAAGCTATTATAGTACTATTCAGCTTAAAGCTCTTAGAATTTGATCATGCAATCTTTTTAAAACAAAATTTTAAAAAAGGTAGTTTTTAAATAGTTTTCTTTCTTGCACATCAAAGCTTTGTTAGAACGTTAAAAGTTTATGGTGAATCACTAAATCAGTGCAAGAATCTAGTACAGAAAACGAATTGTGTCAACTTTTATAAACACTGTTCCTTGATCCTGTTCGAATAGGTTTTGTTATTTATACACAGAAGAATATGAGTTTTCTTCTGCAGATTCATGGAATGGTAGTCTTCTGCTTGGACTAGTTAGTATCACATTGGAATATGCATTCAAAAATCGGCTGCTAGAAGACTGTCATATTAAAAGTTCAGTAATATCTTCATGCTTATGTCCTCACATGCACATTTGGGAAATGTGCATATTTGCAATACATGCTATTGCAATACATGCTACAAAAAATGCAATAACTTTGAAATATATTTTTTTTTTTTCCATGTATGTGTATATACGTATAGGTAAATATAAACCAAGAAATTTTATTTGTATAACTAGGCAGTGATAGGAAATCAGAAGTGCAGCTAGAAGCCTAAAGAATATTTACCCAAAAGGGGAATCTAGCCATGATAAAATAATTGCTGAAATTTGACTACTTTGACATTTTGACATTATTTTAAATTATTTCCTGTTTTGGCATATGCCAGTGTTGAGCTTTTTATAGAAACAGTAGTAATTGCACCACTTCAAAGGGTTATGAAGAGCCAGGTCATAGTTTGTCATTGCTGGCTGTCAATTGCAACACTGTTAATTTATATTAGCTGTTGACTTTCTATTTTTAACTATAAAGCTGCAGCCACTGGCAATTTGGCATAATAAAAGCCTTTCTGAGATCAAGTTTCCAATTGGAAAAGTTTTCTGAATATACTGACCTTGCACAGAAAAGTCACATTCTGAATCTGAGCTAGTTATACCATGCTCTTTTTATACGCAGAGAGGAGAAACAGGATTTTCTGTAAGGCCATTCATCTCATGGTAAGACGGAACTGAAGTGAATTGTTCTTAAGGACAGATGTTGAATAGCTTGTTAAAGAAGTAATAAAAAAAGAAAATATAGTTTGTTTACAATTGTGTAAAAACATAGTACAGGCAAGCTGACCAAGTTTCATTTTATCAGATTATGTAATATGACTAGGAAATGTAGAGAAACTTTCAGGGATTGCAATCTCTTCTTCCAATGTACCATGTCAGAAAGTTGAAAGGTAAATACAAGTTACAAATAATTGCCCTGATGTGTCAGATGAGCAAAACAGAAGGTAATGACAGAACCAGAGAGTATGCTGAGTTGGAAGGGACCCACAAGGATCATCAAGTCCAACTCCTGGCCCTGCACAGGGCCATTCTCAAGAGTCACACCATGTGCCTGAGAGTATCATCTAAATGCTTCTTGAACTCTGTCAGGATTGGTGCTGTGGCCACTTCCCTGGGGAGCCTGTTCCAGTACCCAACCACCCTCTGGGTGAAGAACCTTTTTCTAATATCCAATCTAAACCTCCCCTGACACAACTTCAGGCCATTTTCTCGGGTTTCATCATTGACCACCGTAGAGAAGAGATCAATTCCTGCCCCTCTTCTTCCCCTCATGAGGAAGTCGTAGACTGCAATGAGGTCTCCCCTCAGTCTCCTCTTTTCCAGGCTGAACAGACCAAGTGCCCTCAGCCGCTCCTCATATGGCTTCCCCTCAAGGCCCTTCACCATCTTCATTGCCTTCCTTTGGATGCTCTCCAATAGCTTCATATTTTTCTTATGTTGTGGTGCCCAAAACTCCACAATATTCAAGGTGAGGCCACCTCAGTACGGAGCAGAGCGGGACAATCACCTCCCTTGACCAGCTGCCTATGCTTTGCCTGATGCCCCCCAGGATAGGGTTGGTCTCGCTGCCAGGGCACTGCTGAATCATGTTCAGCTTGCCAGGGACCAGGACCCCCAATCCCTTTCCGTGGCACTGCCTTCCAGCATCTCATTCTCCAGTCTGTATGAACATCCAGAGTTGCTCCATCCCAGGTGCAGAATCCCATGCTTTACCTTGCTGAAATTCATATGGCTGGTGATTGCCCAGTCCTCTAATTTGTCAGGGTCTCTGCCTTTGAGGGAGTCAACAGCTCTTCCCAGTTTTGTGTTGTCTGCAAACTTGCTTAGTATCCTTTCCAGTCCTATGTCCAAGTCATTTATGAAGATGTTGAAGAGCACAGGGCCTAAAATGGAGCCCTGTGGAACCCCACCAGTGACAGGTCAGTAGTGTGATGTTACACCATGCACTATCGCCCTCTATGTTCAACCCGTGAGGTAATTGCTCACACGCTGCATGATGTGTTTATCCAGCTGGGTGCTGGACATGAAGGATACTGTGAGAGACAAAACTGAAAGCTTTACTGAAATTCAAAGGTTACATCAACTGGCTTTCCTTGATCAATTAGGTGGATTACCTTGTCATAGAAGGAAGCCAGATTTGATAAGCATGAAGCCTCATGAAGCCACACTGGCTGTAAATGATGACTGCATTGTCTTTCAGGTGTTTTTCAATACCTCCCAGAATAATCTTCTCCATAACTTTACCAGGTACTGAAGTGACACTGACAGGCCTGTAGTTTCCGGGGTCCTCTTTCTTGCCCTTCTTGAAAACTGGGACAACATTTGCCAGATTCCAGTCAGCTGGGACCTCTCCAGATTCCCCAGACTGCTCAAAAATCATCTAGAGGGGCATTGTGATGACTCCCATCAGGCCCCATAGATTTGTAGAGATCCAGCTGGATCAGCAGATCCCACATAATTTCAGGGCTGACTGAGAGTTGATCATTCTCACAGTCATGGTTCTCTAGCTCAGGACACTGAGACCCCCTTGGTCTGTCATTGGTGTTGAAGACTGAGGCAAAGGTTAAATACCTCTGCCTTGTTTCTGTTCCTGTTTGTGAGGTGGCCATCCTCATCCTGTAATGGGCTGATGTTATTGTTACACTATCTATTGCCATTAATATATTTAAAAAAACCTCTTTTTATTGTTCCCCGTATTTCTGGCAGTTTCAACTCCAGCTGAGCTTTAGCAGAAGGAATATTATCCAGAGAAATTAGAGACATAAAAATAATTTTTTGAAAGATATCCCCCCACTGGTAGCTCAGTGTTACTGTCCTTTAATGTGTACTCAAGATCTGGTACCTCACTGTCCAGTCATCTGTTTAGAAAGATACATGTGTGGCCAAGAAGACCAATGGCATCTTGGCCTGTATCAAGAACAGTGTGACTAGCAGGACACACCATACTATCCTGGGTTTACATGGAAAGTAATAATTCATAATGCTGTATTAGAAGAAGATCTGACCTTGAACAAAATGGTCTGCCTATAACTTAACCCAGAAATAATTCTTGACCTAAACTCATCATTGAAATAAAACTCTTTATTGTTTTGCGAGCATCAAGTGGATCCACTCTGTTCTGAGTGGTAAGGATAAAATAATGTGACAGTCTCTTACATTGTCCCCTAATGGAACTATCAAAATCTCTGAATCACATGGTTGAACTTTAAACTTCACCTATTGTAC